TTGCTTATCTTCCAGAAATCGCTTCACGTAGTGTACGCCACGACCTTGGCGTTACAGTCCGTTGACCTGTCAATCCTGTCCAGGTTGGCCTTACTCTTGACTTGTCAATCCTATCCAGGTTGGCCTTACTCTTGACTTGTCAATCCTATCCAGGTTGGCCTTACTCTTGACTTGTCAATCCTATCCAGGTTGGCCTTACTCTTGACTTGTCAATCCTGTCCAGGTTGGCCTTACTCTTGACTTGTCAATCCTGTCCAGGTTGGCCTTACTCTTGACTTGTCAATCCTGTCCAGGTTGGCCTTACTCTTGACCTTGTCAATCCTGTCCAGGTTGGCCTTACTCTTGACTTGTCAATCCTATCCAAGCTGGCCTTACTCTTGACTTGCCAATCCTGTCCAGGTTGGCCTTACTCTTGACTTGTCAATCCTGTCCAGCTTGGCCTTACTCTTGACTTGTCAATCCTGTCCAGGCTAGCCTTACTCTTGACTTGTCAATCCTGTCCAGGTTGGCCTTACTCTTGACTTGTCAATCCTATCCAGGTTGGCCTTACTCTTGACTGTCAATCCTATCCAGGTTGGCCTTACTCTTGACGTCAATCCTATCCAGGTTGGCCTTACTCTTGACTTGTCAATCCTGTCCAGGTTGGCCTTACTCTTGACTTGTCAATCCTGTCCAGGCTCCTTACTCTTGACTTGTCAATCCTGTCCAGGTTGGCCTTACTCTTGACTTGTCAATCCTGTCCAGGTTGGCCTTACTCTTGACTGTCAATCCTGTCCAGGTTGGCCTTACTCTTGACTTGTCAATCCTGTCCAGGTTGGCCTTACTCTTGACTTGTCAATCCTGTCCAGGTTGGCCTTACTCTTGACTTGTCAATCCTGTCCAACTGGCCTTACTCTTGACTTGCCAATCCTGTCCAGGTTGGCCTTACTCTTGACTTGTCAATCCTGTCCAGCTGGCCTTACTCTTGACTTGTCAATCCTGTCCAGGCTTGGCCTTACTCTTGACTTGTCAATCCTGTCCAGGTTGGCCTTACTCTTGACTGTCAATCCTATCCAGGTTGGCCTTACTCTTGACTGTCAATCCTATCCAGTTGGCCTTACTCTTGACCTGTCAATCCTATCCAGGTTGGCCTTACTCTTGACTTGTCAATCCTGTCCAGGTTGGCCTTACTCTTGACTTGTCAATCCTGTCCAGGTTGCCTTACTCTTGACTTGTCAATCCTGTCCAGGTTGGCCTTACTCTTGACTTGTCAATCCTGTCCAGGTTGGCCTTACTCTTGACCTGTCAATCCTGTCCAGGTGGCCTTACTCTTGACTTGTCAATCCTGTCCAGCTGGCCTTACTCTTGACTTGCAATCCTGTCCAGGTTGGCCTTACTCTTGACTTGTCAATCCTGTCCAGGTGGCCTTACTCTTGACTTGTCAATCCTGTCCAGGCTAGCCTTACTCTTGACTTGTCAATCCTGTCCAGGTTGGCCTTACTCTTGACTGTCAATCCTATCCAGGTTGGCCTTACTCTTGACTTGTCAATCCTATCAGGTTGGCCTTACTCTTGACTTGTCAATCCTATCCAGGTGGCCTTACTCTTGACTGTCAATCCTATCCAGGTTGGCCTTACTCTTGACTTGTCAATCCTCCAGGTTGGCCTTACTCTTGACTTGTCAATCCTATCCAGGTTGGCCTTACTCTTGACTTGTCAATCCTGTCCAGGTTGGCCTTACTCTTGACCTGTCAATCCTGTCCAAGCTGGCCTTACTCTTGACTTGTCAATCCTATCCAGGTTGGCCTTACTCTTGACTTGTCAATCCTGTCCAGGTTGGCCTTACTCTTGACTGTCAATCCTGTCCAGCTGGCCTTACTCTTGACTGTCAATCCTGTCCATGGCCTTACTCTTGACTTGTCAATCCTGTCCAGGCTAGCCTTACTCTTGACTTGCCAATCCCGTTCAGGTTTGCCTCGCTGTTTGCACCGAGCTGTTTAGGCCTCTGCAGGGATTGAAATGCGTTGCTCACTGGTTTCCATCAAAATCTGATGCATGACTACTTTGACAGGTTTGTTTCATTACGGAATGATGCTTCACACATTTGCAGCACTATCGTTACCTTTGAACGAACTATGTGTGGCAACGTCGATGCGAAAGCTCTGTGTGGAAATATCGCAGTGAAAACTATGCGCAAATATTCGTCAGAGAAGCAAAGCTGATGGATGTTCACAAATGCACTCGACAACATTCGGTTGAGTGGAGTTTAGTATTTGTAGAGGGTTCATGCCTCAAACGCACACCATGCTTGCTTTGACCTCCTCGATATCACAGCAAAATTGACAAAGCTAGCAATATCTGCATTTCCAGTGCGTTATCTTCTACTTTCCAATCAAAGTCAAGGTTCTGCCTGTTCCGTCATTTCATGATGGTTTGTGGCTAATTCCCCGCTTGACACATTCGAACCCTTAAGCAATCATATGCGTTTGACAGTCGGATTTAAATACGCTATCCCAGGGCGCTGCTTCGCTCTCTGATTCCGGAGGCCTAAGTTAGCGCCCAAACTACCACGGAAGCACGAGGTCCACCCTTCATCCACTCGAACGAAGCTGGCATGGGCAATGACATCGCGTTCAACGACCATTCCCGAAACGCATTTCCGGCACAGCTAATGAGCTCTGCACGCCTGCCAGCGGCCAATCCGGGCTGCTCCCGTTCTGCCGACCGTTCTGCTCCGCCCGGCTCTAATCGGCCCCGGCTGACTCAGCCGGGTCGTCGCGCGACCTTGAACTGGGACCGGCGGTCAACGCCGGGTCAGAGCTGTCCAGCGCGCGGCAGCTGACCGCTGCCGACGTCACAAGGACGCGGCGCAGCCTTGGCGCTGCGACCGGGCGGAGCATGTCCGGCTGGGGCCGGCGGCGGCGCCGCCGGTCGGCCGGCCGGGCCGCTGCTCGGTTTATGGTGGCTGTTTGGGACTGCGCGTCGGGCGCCAGCCGGGCGCGCCGAGACCTCTCGACTGGAGTTGTTACGCACCGACTCAGTCCTTCTTGGAGCTCGCGACCATTTCAGCTCCCTCACGCCCGTAGGGGCTGCGATAATTGGTGTGCTATTGCGTTGGTGAGGCCAGTCAAGCTTGGCATACCAGCTGACAGCCCTGCACGAAATCACGAACTTTGTCGAGCTCGCTCTGCATCTGCCTGACTGTGATGG